CCTCTTGGAGCATTTGACTGGAGAATCCTGCACAGTGCAGCCAGAGAGTGTGGAAATGATGTCCTGCAAGGAGCCTCCCACAGCCTACGAGATGCTGAGCTCCCAGGATGACCTTGGCTTGGAGGACAATGACACTACACTCGAAGACATCCCTGACTTTGAGGAAGAGGAGGCAGATGTACAGGAGGATGAGGCGGTGAGGCTGGATGACAGAGTAGCAGCAGGAGACGGCCAAGGAAAAGATGCCCTAAGGGAGGCCACAGGCCACCTTGAGCGGTCATGCTCAGACCACCACAAGCTGGTGGCAGACACCAAGATGAGAGAGACCAGTGAAACCAAGCTGCCAGAGGCCTGGCTCAGCATGCTGAAGACGGCCGAGCAGAGCCACCCGCCTGTCCCAGAGAATGCGGGTGTCTCCGATGACGATGCCAGAGGCAGCTCGGAGTTGGTGCTGAAGGCACTGCGGAAGCAGGACAAGGAGCAGGCAGAGACGCTGGTGCTGGAAGGCAGGGTGCAGATGCTGGTGGTGCAGTCGGAGAGCCAGATCTTTAAGTGCGAGAAGTGCTCGTACATCACACGTAAGGAGAAGTCCATGTCCCTGCACTCCAAGGCCAGCTGCCAGAGCCGCCGGGGCCCACTCGTGTGCCGTGAGTGCGGTGCCAGCTTTAAGCAGCAAAGGGGACTCAATACCCACCTCCTCAAGAAGTGCCCAGTCCTCCTAAAAAAGAACAAGATCCTCAAACCAGCTGGTCAGGAGCCGTCTGGGTTGTGCCAGCCTACTGACCAGGCTGGTGATAACAGTACAGAAACAGCAGAGGGTGACAGGGGAGGCTCGGAGGAGTCTGGGCATGCTGAGAGCCCCTGGGGAGCTGAACTGATGACCGATAAAATGCAGGCAGTAGACAGTTCCTTGGCTGGGGAACAGACCTCAGGCTGTTCTGCCCCTGGAAAATCCCTGCCAGGTGGCAGCACAGAAATGGTGGAAGAACCTCCCCAGCAAGGGGATGGGGCTGAGCCAGGTGGAGCCACTTGTCCCCCCCAGCCTGGGAAACCCTTGGAGAAATACAGGCTGGAGGGAGGGAAGCTGCACTGCAATGCCT